AGAAAAAAAATACTCTTTTCAGAACCGCACATACTCACAAAAGAGATACGTCCATGGTGCTACCGCAAACCTACTTTCTATTAAGTTGTGGGTAAGTTTTGTAAAGAGCACGCTGAACCACACTAGTACGGCAAGGTCGTCGAAAACTTTTATGCATGCATAAAATTTTCGACGCATTGCCAGTGTATGGCTATGTCCTGCATACTTGGGCCGTAAGTTGTAGGTAAGACAAACTATGGGATCGTTGACACATGTACGTCCACACACGTTACTTGTAAGTTACTCATAAGTCGAAAATAAGTGTCTTGCGTACCCAAAACTTACTTCTAACAAACGCGCCTTCGGCGCTTTACGCGGCGATCTTTGCTTCTAACCAATGAGTAACGCGCTTTGAACTTACGTCAGTACGCAGAACTTATACATGTACTAAAGTATCGAACTTATCTCCCACCCATCTTGACGTACTGGACGTGTTCCCCGCGACCATAGAACTTACTGAACGTGTTTAACTTACAGTTACCGTATAAGTTATCTATAAGTTATCGAAACTCTCTATGTACATGTAAGTCACTGATACGTAACGTATACGTCCAACTCGTTATGAATACGCTATGTATATGCCTCAAATTGACAAAAAAATATAATCGAAAGTTTTGCGTATTCACCAATTTTTTTTCATACGTCGGCATACGCTGGCTGATCGTCAAGGTGTGACGGGGTCTTTATGTACATCGAACAATGGACGGGTGGACGGTGCTCACGTTCGCAGCGTACTTGTTTTCTTCCTCGTTTTCTTGCAAACTTCATAGTCTTTGATTTGACCGATTGATCGAATTGCAAATATCCTGATTTCTACGCTATGGTATGGAGCTATTAATGTTTTGGGGGTCTGAACATCCGCAAACAAACGGCTGGAGCTGTGAAAAGGAGTCCTAGGTAGACTTGGGCCAGTCTACTACCTCCGGCACTCTGCGGTCGAGTCCGGTATGGTACGCACGGACGTACGTACGTACGGTACGCCAGCAGCAGTTTGTGCGTGTACGTCTGATCATGGATTCTACCTCCATGGTCTGATGGTAGCACAAGTACGCGTACGTGTGGGTGCGGGGTTTTTAGAAACTCAAACTACGGTATCTTCCGTGTACTATACATGTACTTAACTTGTCTTGAAAGTAACTTCCCCTATTGAGACGTCAGACTTAACTTCTCGTTGAAAAAAAATACTCCCGAACCGGCTTTATTCAAGTCGAGTTTCCCCATCCGTCGCGTGTTGTGTAAAAATTTCCCGTTCGGCTATGATCCGGTAGGACAACTATTCTTTATGGTGTTCCATATGTGCCGCCCGGTCAGATTTTTCAGCCGGCGCCGCATTTTTGGTTGTAACTTATGTCATTACGTACAGTTACGTCAAAACCAAACCCAGTAGGCCTATTGTTCACTCTAGTTGGTATTCGCCAACCTGTAGAGTTGCTGCCTGAGGAATCGTTTATCGCAGTAGTGTCTCTATACTGGTTGCAAAATGCGACACCTGTTGAAAAATGCGACGCCTGTTGAAAAATGCGACGCCCAACCAAAAATGCGACGCCGGCTGAAAAATCTGACCAGACGGCACATATGGAACACCATAATTATTAGTGCACTTGTAAAGTTTATATGACACTGGCAGTACACTATGGTCCAAGTATTTAGGCCTAGCCGTAGTAGCCAAGTACTCACTACTTCGGTAGTACTAGTAGTTTACAGCTCTATGGTAGGCTCGTACATGTAGTAGGCCTAGTCACGGGCAGAACTTTGGGCAGAACTGAGGGTATCTGGCAGGTTTCATTCATCTTCTTGTTTTGAATGCTTTCCTTATTGTGAGCCAATTTTAGTTACAATGTTCGTAGACTACACATTCAGTACAACCTTGACTCTTGAGCAAATGTATTCGGTACATGTGGGCCAAGGCCTATCCTGTGAATGGATTTCATTCAGAGGTAAAACAATTCGGGATGGAGTACAGTAAATTTTGGGCAAGATTCAAGGTTGCGCTGAACATGGACATGTTTCAGCCAACCAGAATGAAAAATCAACAAGGGGACCTTATGATACGCGTACATATATAATGAATGACAACGTCACTGCCGTTTCAGGGAGCAAGATGTCTCTACCAAGAGCACTACTGGAGCAGCTATGGAGCCTCTTCCTATTACTGTGGTACTGCTTAGAAGCCGTGATATTGGCATGCATCCCCCGCTCAATGCGGAAGCGCAAAAGTGTAGTTGGTGAAATTGTGTTGGTCACTGGCGCAGGTAAACATTGTTAGTGTTCATTGTAATCTAATATTTTCTTGCACATAAAGTATGTGTGTGTCTGTTGCTTAACAAAAACATCAGTATTGTGCCTACAGTCACCCAAAATTAAGGATATATATTACCACCAACTTGGGTCTCTCATGTACCAGTTTACTACAAATACCTTACCTTCTCTTATATTCAGGTAATGTTTGTGCGTAATCTTGACCTACATACTTATTTCACTCCTCAAGCCTCTCACTTTCACCTCCCACAAACCCGCACTATCCTTGCCCAAAGAACTGTTAAATATGAGGGACCCAAGTTTTGGAACTCATTATCAGATTCACTTAGAAATTTAAATACTCTGTCAGCTTTTAAAAAGAAATATAAGATCTCTTTGTTAAATACATAATTATTCGTAATTCTTACATACACATATTTCTGTGTTTTTGGCAATTAACACTTATATCTTAATTTAACATACCATACTGGTTTCTGGCTACACAAACTTGCAACTACATATTTACTTATTTTGTCTGTCTTTGTGTGTGTGTGTGTTTGTAATTTAATAAGTAATGTTACAAAAGGGGCCCAAATCTACAAGCATTGCTTTCATTGGGTACCCCTCTACAGTATCCTTTCTAAAGTGTGTTGTAGTATCATTCAGTCCTATTTATGTATTTATTAAAAGTTTTATTATCGTGTGTGATTATTATGCTGTAGAAAATGAAATAAATCTTGAATCTTGAAATATCACTGGCATGACTGGTGCCCATCTACCTGCAGAGAGAGCAAATTCTTTAGCAGAAAATGGTGTGATGATTGCGTTAGGCAAACAAAAGCGAGCATTGGTTTATTCTCACTTTCTTACGAACCTCAACCCTCCTAGAGCTAGTACTTGTTTCCTTCAAGGGCCAGGACTCTGCAGTATTCAGATAATTCCAGGGAGTTGGTGATGATCGGCAATATACATATAATCTCTCAGGCGCCAAGTTTTTAAGTACTTACCCCAATATCTAGCAAAGTCAACAGAGACCTAAAACTAGATTGTCTTATTCTCCTTAATCCCCCAATAATGCAAGTCTTGAAATTACCAACTGAACATTATCGAGAATTAGAACTCCCTTTGCACATGCTTCCATGTGCAGTTCTGCTTGCTAACAATGAACAAAGGATTACGTGGATTTGTCATTTCACTACCAAACCCCCCAAGCGTGACCCTACCTCCTTTTTTTGAAAGGAAGCGGAATCGGTCGCTTGCTGGCTCAGGGGTTCGGACAGCTGGGAGCTACTATTGTTCTGTGGGATGTCAACCAGGCAGGCAATGAAGAGACAGCAGATCAGATCCGTGAGAATGGAGGCAAAGCCTACGAATATACTGTCGATGTCAGCAACAGCGAGAAAGTGTATGAGGCTGCTCTGAAAGTTAAGCAAGATGTCGGGGATGTGAGTAGAATTTGTCAGATTTACTTTAAATGGTCTTGGGCCATTGATTGGCTGCGTGATTAGTCATGCAAAATGTCTCTGACACTCTCCTAACCCGACCCCAAAGCAACGTAAATCATCAACGGGATGTTCAAAGTATCCAGCATTGTTTTTAAAAGGAAATATGAAGTGTACTTTCATTTTGTGTCAGTCAATTGTGTTGTTTGGAATGTTCGTATTTATGGAAAGATTGGGACCCTGAAGTAGTTTGAAGAAGCACAAAATAAAAAACTTTGAATGATGCCTCAGTCAAAAAGTGTCCAGTGGATGCTTACTTTTTTAAGCATGTTGCATTGCCTTCTATTGAGGCTTTGCGTGCAAGCCATCTTGCAGGGCAGCTGTATTGTTCCACAGGCAGACCTCTGTGTGTACCATGTGGAACAAAATCACTGACCTGCAAGATGGCTGCAATGTACACTCTCTAGAAATGGGTTTCGATTTTAGCTTTTAACCCCAACAGTACCGGGCGTTGTTTGGCTTAGTGTACTCAGTACTACAAAATACTACGTAACACTCTGAGCCTGAAGGACCTAGCGCTACAAATTGCTATTTCTGGCTAGGTTTATTCCGTTGTTACTCGTACAGAGAACAATGAAACCATGCATTCATAGTGTCACAGCACTTTGTGGTACATTGTCTTCTCTTATGTATTTTATGGCTTCAGAGAATAATAATGTCATGTCCTCTTACAAGCGACAGGGCTGAGTGCTACATTTTACTACTAAGTAGTACTTTGTAGCATTCGGGACTGTTAGGGTTAAAAGAAGGGGTGTGAGAATTCAGCTTTTTAACTGATTTCAGCTTTTTTGTCTAGATGTTGACCCCAAATTTCAGCTTTTTTGTACACATGGTCTGTACAAAAGTATAGGGACTTTTACATTTCGGCTTTTGCTGGCTGTTTTCAGTTTTAATTTTAAGTAGCCACTCACACCCCTGTAAAAGGCTCAAAGATCTTCCAGTCAGCCTTCAACTCAGTCACTTTGACCAGCAAATAAAATAACAGACAACAAAATCTTAAGTTTAGTCTATGACGTGAATTGTGAAAGTTATTCCAGCATTTTAAATCATTGAAATGCTACATGTATTTCCATCCCTTGTTAACCTTCTGTACATGTTTATATATCTTTTTATTTCATGGAAACGTTAGGTGACAATCTTGGTCAATAATGCTGGCATCGTCACTGGGAAATCATTTCTTGATTGTCCCGATCACATGATCAAGAAAACAATGGATGTCAATATCAATGCACACTTTTGGGTGAGTAGCTAAAAAATTCACGTGAGATTGTAAAATTTCAGATTCACACTGTCTGATGAAAAGTATATGAAAACCTGAGTGTTTTAGTAAAGATGATGTACACCATAGTGCTATTTCAAATTACTAGGGCGCTAACTCGTCATCCTGCCTGGGAGAAGTTTTGACGCCTCCTTGGTGCAGACATGTCAAATTCATGCATGCGTTTGTAGGACATAACGCAATCAGGTGGATCGAATTCTGAATAATGCAACGCGTGTGCAAATAACATTTAGGCCTACAACCGGTGTCATTTAGCATGACACATTAAATAGCCTCGGCAAAGTTCATCTTCAGCGGTTCATCAGTGTGCACAAGTTTGCATTGTTTACGTGAAGCAAACCAAAATGCTCATTTACTAATTGTGCCTTTTGTTGTTTGTTGTATCAGTTTTGTTGATGCATTGTTTAGAATAGACTCAAACATGCTAATAGCCATACATAAATTATGCCAAATGTGGAGTTTTTGTTTCTGCCTAAAGATGAATGCACCCAGCAGGCTGCACTTTGCAAAACGAGGTAAAGCTCTAGTAATTATATAGCTCTGTGGTATATGAACACATACAGGTACAAATACGGCCAGTGTTATACGTTTAAAATTGTCCTCTAGTGATGCAAGGGGATTTACAGTAAATATAATTATCTTCAAGCAAACTTGAATCCTGATTGGTCATCTCCTAGCATCAGTTGTGTCATGATATCCCGTACTAGCTCCATTTGGTTGAGTAGGCGATAAGCTACATGTTATACTGGATGACAAAAACTATACCAAACGCTGAAGGCATTTATTAAAAATATATTAAATGTATGAATAATTTGATTACATCCTCAAGTGTTACTAGGGGACGTGCACTGGCAGGCAATGAAAGTGCGCCATTGATTTTTTGTCAAAGAATCGGTAGTTGTGTTATTCACAAAGAATTGTAGTGTGAAAAGGATTAACCAGACTCTGGGTGTTACTCCACACATCATTAATTACGGTGTCTCCTCATGTAAGCTAGGCCATATTACTGCAGTTCCTCAAGAGTAAAACAGTAGACCTGAATATGAAGTCTTACATCCGTATAATTTCAGTGGCTACAGCAGCATGCAATATTTTAATAGGCAAGGTGTGTCTTACACGCAGTTTGTGCATTTAATAGGACCTGCGCTTCTGACGTCAGTCATGTTTTTCCTACAAGTGGCTGCTAAAACTACAGTTGGCCGTCGGTACAAAAGTAGAGAATGATTCACAAAGTGTTAAAAATCCCAAGTAGCAATTAGAATGCATGTACTACTAAATATGAAATGAAAATATAGCCCTATTTAAAATTAGTGGGACAAATTTCCCCTTTGACTGAATTGGAGGTAAAATTTAAAAAAAAAAAAAAAGGTGATATTTCTGCAAACTTTGGCCGCCCATACAAGTTGCAGGCAAAATGACAGTGGTCTATAATGGAGGTAGTTATAACTACATGCAGGCATCGATGGCTGCTCCCTGGACACTGTAGCCTGTCAAGCTACATAGTGTGGAGCACACTACGCATCTCTTTTTTACTGAAGAAAAACTTTTGTTTTGTTTTTTAAAAAGTAGAGATTAGACATCTTTAAGTAATTGGCCTGATTTAATGAATAACTTTGGCACAGACTCTTTTGCCGTGAAAGCAGGCTCACTTGTTTTGCCATTTTCGTACAACCTGCAGACCCTCAAAGCTTTCCTACCATCCATGATTGCTAAGGACAAAGGCCACATTGTGAATATAGCCAGCCTGGCTGGTCTGTTTGGAATGAATAAACTGGTAGACTACACCACCAGCAAGTTTGCTGCAGTTGGTCTCCATGATGCACTGCACTATGAGTTAGTGTTCAGTGGCAAGGCTGGAGTGAAGACTACTGTGGTCTGTCCGTTCTTCATTGACACTGGTATGTTCAGTGGAGTCAAAATCAAGTGAGTTCTGATGTTGCATTTCAATTTTCATGTGTGGAATAAATGCTTGTTCCATTATTGCATATCTTTCAGTTTATTCCAAAGGTGGAAAGTCACTGGACAGGTGTGTAACTCTGGGGGTATGGGGACGTGTCCCCACTCAGTGGAGGTACTTGTCCCCAGTTGCTCCTGTGTGTGGAATTTTGAAATGTGCACAACTTGTGTACTTGTAAGCTGCAGTCAAGTGTGGATCTAGAACCAAATATTCAGGGGGTCATGCTGGTCTTTTTGTTGGATGGGTGATCCCCGCCAATTTTTTTTTTCCTTTAACCTTTTTTAGCCTGTTTTAGGGGTGAGGTTACATTAGTAGACTTGTTACGCGCTTTCGGATGAAGGGCAATAGAATAGACCCCCTAAATCACTTTTCTCTCTTTACTTACAACACAAAATTGTTTGGCTCCATGTGTTGCATCCCCTTTTCCCCAGATCCGTCCTTGGCCGCAGTCAGCTTTCGATGTCCCCTAAAATATAGGGTGCATCCTTGGGTGCCCCCAGGAAGATCACCCCAGTTACACCACTGTCACGTGGATGGTTCTTTACTTGATATGATGACATTACAATACATTTCATATTCAGGTAGAAAAGAAGACTGTTTCAAATTTCTTAATCAGAGAAATGTAGCATACATGTAACTGTGTCAATTTTCTTTTTTGCGTTTGGATATTCCTTTCAAAGACTGACAAACTCTACTCTTCATAGAGTGAATCATCCCTACATGGATGGAAATTATAATCTGACCACATTCTCCTCCATGCTATTTACCCCAGTCAAAAATTATATTATTAATTGCAAGTGTTCTGATAAGAACTTTGCAATAGAAGGTATTCTCTACTGATTTTTAGCTCCTGTTAATTTTTGGTATCATTAAAACTCATTGGCATGATTTTTCTTGTACATACTCTCTGCACACTGGACGCCTTCAGGGCTTTTTTAATGTTGATATGTTATGATTTTACTAATACCATCTTCTGTAATATTTGTCCATGCAGAGATCCGCTCTTGACATTGCCACTTCTGAAGCCATCCTATGTCGTCAGGAACGTTATCGATTCTGTGCTTCTTGAAGAGCAGATGTGTGTGCTCCCTCGACACATCTTCTTGGGAGTCCTCCTGAAATAGTCAGTGAATTTTGCTCGATAGGTTCCCTCTCAAAAAGCATAGTAACAAATCATAATAGCAAGTTGGAAAGATTGCAAACGTAAGTCATTTGCTTGAAAACAAAAGGCTTAAGTTATTTGCTTGAAAACAAAAGGCTTAAGTCATTTGCTTGAAAACAAAAGGCTTAAGTCATTTGCTTGAAAACAAAAGGCTTAAGTCATTTGCTTGAAAACAAAAGGCCTGTATAACCTTATACCCATTTACGTAAACTAAGCAACTACTCAAAAAAAAGCAGAATGTGCTGTTATGAAACATGCTGTGATAAAATGTGATTGGCTTCTTGTCATTGTGAGAAAAAATAAACACTGGTGTACAGTGATGATTTACTCAGCGTTGTCCCAGGTATAGTGCCAGAATCAGTACCTTGAAAGGTACAGTCCATCGTCTGCAGTTATCCAAAAAGTGGCTGGCGAAGTTTTTATTGAAAAGCATGCTTGGTTAAAAGTAGTTAAGGGGTGAAACTCCCTCTGAAATTGTTCTTTCTGACAAGCCGTCATTTTGAAGAAAACAGTGAAAGAAGGCCGTTTCCAACAATGCACTGGGAGGTTTTTTTTGGAAAACTGCCATAAGCAAGTGCTATTGTTAACACGCCACGCAAGCGTGTTTAGTATTCGTCAGTTCATTGCATGACAGCATGTAGCTGCATTCATTCAACTGAATGTAAGAACATGTCCCAGACTCTGAATTCAGGCACAATTCAAAACATGAAACAGCAACGTTTGATCTGAAATTGAAATCCTAGAATATTGATTTTCTCGGAATATACATGTATATTCTAAATGATAAACTAAACTAAATGTTAAAGGTACAGTCCACTAATGGTGAACTGTACCTTTACCATTTATCTTATCATCCAGGCTCTCTTTTCTTATACATGCAGGATTTCTTTGAAACTACTCAGCTAAAGCCTTAAGAGGTGACATTTGAACTTGGGTGATATTCCATGAACTGATACAGATTTTCATAGTTATCTTTATTAAAAGGGTTAATCAGCATTACCCATAATTACTGGACAACCAAATAATCCAATTAACTGTCTCAATTATACAGTACGGAAAAGAGCACTTCAAGTTTGCCAGGATGTTCTCGTCATAAAGTACATGAAGGGGTGCTGCAAAACTGGGAATGCCAAGCAGTTTCCCCCAAAAGGAGCCCCCATGTTGTTTTTTTTGCAAACTGACAACAGGCCATTTTTTAATCTTTCTCCTCACCCTTTTAACCCAAAGTGTGTAAAAAGCTCCAAAATGTAGCCTCAGCAGTCAGGCAGGAAACAAAAAGTTACTTACAAAAATTCCAACATTTTTGCCTCCCCCCTCCCCGATTTCTCCCCTATCAGAATATTCGCTTCAGGATCTGCCTTTGCTGGGTAATACCACTGTATGTGGTACGGAATAACATGCATAGCTGGCATTTTGCTAGGAAGTATTTCTACTTAAAATATTAGTTTGGGGTGGTAGGGCTGTGCCAAATTTCGGAATAACCAAATATTTGATTATCAAATATTCAAATATTATTTTCTGAATTTGAATATTCGAATGCAAAATTCATGAAAAGGTAGGAAATTTTCTTTTGTTTTAAATGAGAAAAATTGCACTATGAAGGCTTGTTTTGAGCAAATGAAAAGCGACAGAAATCTTACGAGTTAAAAAGTAAATTATTCATTAAACAAAAAGGAATAGAAATTTTCCACAGGGTAAGAAGTATTTCTATTGTTCATCTCTTAAATCTTGCTAAATCATGGCTGGAGATACTCCTAGATGTGAGAAGCTATTATGTTAATTACAATGTACAATTGTGTGTGTGTTATTGCAACTGATTTTGTATGGTTTGTTCATCCAGTCGGCACGGCCGAATGTTTGGATATTCAATCGAATTGAAGGTCAAATATTCAAATGGTGAATTATTTGAATTGACTCAGCCCTATATACGTATAGATATACAGTCAATGGAAATGCCCACTTTCTCTTTCTGAACTGTAACAAAAAGTTGCATGTAGCTGGGGCTGGCATTTAAGATTGACTGTTTTACAGTAAAAGCAATCGACTTACAGTGGCCTTGTTTTGTTCGTTACGTCATTTTTGTCTCTCTCTCTTGCAGCTGGTTGCCAGAGAAGGCCACACTGCACATTTTTCGGCGTTTGGGCTTTGATGAGTGTATGTCGTCATTTGTTGGCAGAGGCAAGCGGGACTGAATTATCCACTGTGAAGTTGGAGATCAACTTTTTACCAAAGTTTCTGAAGTCATAGTTTAGTGTTTAATCCTTTAATAAAGGTATGAAATGCGTAAACATTCATTTAAGAGTAGCTCAGGAGCAGAATGGGGTTGATTAATGCCTGAGCTTAAGGCAAGGGACATCATCAGCGTCTATTTTCCTGAGCCGGTCTTCAGTGAATGTTAATGACCAGCTAATTCATAAATACCTTTTGAGCTACAATATAAAGATGATAAAGTTCTAACAATTTTGTTTAGCCATTTTACATCATTGTTCAGACATCCCTCAAGTAATGTATGTTCCTCTTGTGAGTAGTCATAAACGATCCTCTTGAAATGGAGACTAGTGTGCACTTTGCACATAATGCTTGAGGTGGCACACAACCAGTCCGTACTCTATCAACAGGCCATGTGATGGGCTCTCAACTATTAGGAATGTCTAAACTGTCTAAGGTATTTATGAAGACATGTAGGATTGAATTCATTGAATAATTCATTATCTATACTTGGTGTTGGAGATGCACACATTCATATACCAACAAACCAACCTGGTGAAGATACTAACAGTTCTATTCAGTTGAGCTGGACCCAGGGGCCCTCCTTGTTACCTGTGTCACTTTGAATGACCGACTAACTAGGTATAAATAATGTTCTGTTGTGAGCTTTGATACACCACTGGCCATGGACACTGTCTACATACAGGTCAGTGTGGACAGCTGAATTTTATGGCTTATTTTTACCTGAACTTCTGCCTCGTGATCACTACCATTTCATGCTTTCTTGTGAAGCACTGAAACAGTTCAGCTTTCCAGCTTAATGTACATGTACACCTAACAAGCTTGTGCAGTGCACAGTGTGGACCGTTCAAATAGTACCTTTTTTGCAGCTGTTCCTGTGCAAGAAACCCACACATACAAGTGTGCAAACACCTTCAATCATGGACTCCCTATTGTTCCTCTTTTGTTCATACTTAACTTTTCGGAAGACCTCCCATATGTTTAGTACACGTTTTCCAACCGTGGACTCTTCAGCAACCATGGACCCTATTGTCCCCAATTGTTATAGGTCCACGACTTGAATGTGTATACAAACTCAGGAGTATACTCACACACACACATACAAGTGGGTATTGAGGGTTTTGGACTACTGAAATCGTATTTGGCCCAAGTTACATTAGGGGCCGATGGGGGGGGGATTGGCTTAAGTTACATTAGGGGCCGAGGGG